CTATTTATACTCAAGTTATTTTCTCACGTAATCCTTCAGCCACACACTTTTCCTCCTGGATCGCGTGCTTTTATTCTTTGCCATGATTTCCACGCTGTCACCCACATGTCCCATTTGTATTGATTTACCTATAACGGTCTCCACCTCATCATTATTTTACACTCTCCTTACAAAATACCAGGATGAAGATGTTGATGACGACGAAAATGAATGGAATTTTTCAACAGATAGTTCATCAGATACTAATGTGGATGGTCATCTTAATTCAATATTAAATACTTATGAAAATGCACCACATAGAGGTATTATATATTATATAAGTTAATTTATATATTTCATGAATAAAGTATATAAACTGGAGGATTTGGTTGTAATGCAGGCATGATTGAAACTCTGTTTTGGAATTCAAGTCCGCATTATACTTATATTAATTGGGAACATGCTGATCAAGAAATGGAAAATTTAGATGTTCGTGTACATAAATCATTGAGAGAGGGTGATGTTGTATATGTTGGGCAAGTGTTTGAGTCTAAAGAGGAGGTATTGCATTTGTCATATAGCAATTTTAATCAACGATTCAAGAATCCAACTTTGAAGATAGAGTTGATAAAATTAGGTATGAATATGGTTGTTTTTATATACGTGCAGTTCGTATTTCCTGTTTACAAATAACACTATGTTTTCAATAATACTATTCCAACATCCTTTTCATTGTATATGTATAGGATACACAACATGCAAACAAAGATTTGAAGAAAAACTTCAACAATTTTGTAATCAATCTGAGGATATAAAAAGTTGGATTGACTGTATCTCTAAAGAAAAGTGGACGCTTGCCTATGATGACGAAGGAAGGCGTTATATACATATGACAACAAATTTATCAGAAGCGGTTAATAAAATTTTTAAAGGAGCCAGGATGAACATGGTCTCGCTTAATGTGCGCAGTTCATCAAATGTGAATGAATCTTGGCCATCAGTAGTCAAGTAGTATGTCCTCTCATATGCATCTCCCTGCATTGCCTAAGAAGATGTAAATTGTATGATTTAATTGTACTTAATGTGCGTAATATTAACCAGCAAGGACAATATCATATTACAATGTCTAGTAATATTAACATGTACACAAATACATACCAGAAGTGAGAAAATGACTGCATCTCTCGTCATCCAACGTTTAGTATGACTCATATATCATCTCATGTACTCCGAATTGGAACTCAATAATCCAATTTGAGGGGCATTGCTGAAAACCCAATCCATGCGCCTTTTCCATAATGCTAAGATGTGTCTAAATTTGTCATTCCAATTCTCTCTCGTCTTCCCTCTAAGTGTAATGTCATATAAGGCATCAGGTTGGTATGGAGCACGAGGAATGTGTTGAACCATTCCAAATTGACGCATTACACGGTCCGGTTGATGCCACTCATAAATCTGAATGCAAATTAAAGGCACCACTAACCTCCAAATGTTCATCCCTTGCAAGCAAATGGGCGGTAATAATTCAAGTAACTCTTGACTATAAGGCTGTCATACAATCTGATAATTGAAACACAAAATTCATTAAATTCAAACAAATTGAATTTTTTTACTACAATTATTAAAGTGTTTGAAACTAATAAATACCTCCTCCCATTTAAGACGATCAAGTTTATATCTATAATATGCAACATCTTTCTTTGCCTTTCTAGGCACCCAATTTACTAACCACCTATAATATAACAAAGTAAACAACATTAATTTAAAATCATTAAATTATATATCATCATTTATCTAAGTAGAAATGTGGTAAAAATGTTTACCTAGCACCATATGGAACATCATGCCGCAAATGTGGAGGTCTAGGAGGAAACAAACATGGGAACCTATCCCAAGTCCACATAACTAGCAATGGAGTCAAACCACTAATGGCAACTCTGCCAATGTTTGTTGTCATGCACAATTCTCTATATAAGAAACTAAGAGTTGCTCCTCCCCAACTATATTGCCCTGCAATGGTGAAGTCCTCAAGTAAAGGCAGGTATCAAACTATGACTCTGCTGCTAGAATGATCGGCTAACATGAACCCTCCAATCAGTCTCATAATATACACTCTGGCAAATCTTGTCAGTTGAAGCTCGTTCTGATTATGCATAGCAACGTTAGTGAAATGTTGGTCTAACCAACGAAGCTTCAAGCTGCTGCCCACAAAAGCCTCTAGTGGTGCCCTAATACCTAAATTGTCCTCAACTATCTACAGCCAATTACTGCCAGTTGCTGCAAATACTGGAAGTCCATCAACCCGAAGACCTATATGTATGGCTATATCTTGAAGCGTTATGGTGCACTCTCCTGGTAGCATATGAAACGTGTGTGTCTCAGGCTTCCTTCTCTCAACCAATGCGGTGATCAAATGTCTATTCAATGGAAAGTTGGCAAGCTGTGCCACTCCAGCAAAGGCAGTCAACTCTAAATGTGGTAAAATCTCTGCAGGAACACCGTCTAGACCAGCTGGTATAAATTGATACTTCCTAACCTTCATTACGGGATGCTCTCGACCATCCCAAATGTGTTCAGACGTATGTATACTTTGAAAACGCAATAATAATGGATCCTCTTGGCCTGAATTAATCACTAGACTTTGTGAAGAAGATGAAGTCATCTGATAATTTAAAATAAAATATTAGTATAATTAACAATAACAATAAATTAGTTTGACTCATCTTTCAATTATTTAAATACACAACACTAAATTTAATCAACATAGATACATAATAAGGATAAATATGCATAATGGTATGGAACAAAAAAAAATTAATATTACGATTACATATTAATATCCAATATTATTTTATTTACATTATTTTGTTATATATGTATATACATGACTGATATTTTATTTTACAATATAATTTCACTTTTGTTTTTAAATTTATAATGATACAACCGTATTATTCCTACGACAATTTATATATTAGAGTTATAGCTTATCAAAGTTATAGTAGTTTAATATTTATGTATAGCAACATATTTATTAACTTACGTAAATAAATTTTAACAACTTTTTTATTAATTGTTTCCATTTAATATATCTAACTTAACCATATTCTTACTTTAATATAATTTATTTTTAATATGATAACATAAATTTATTTCTTAACCAGAGTTAATATTAATCTAAAAAGTTATAATATTTTATAAATTATTTTAACTATATTTTTTATTATTACAGATGTTAACTTGTAAATTATTTCAATAATATGTATAATTATAATTTTACGTAATTAAATTGTTTTTAACAAAAGTTACTAATATAAATTTTATTTTAATCTACAACAACCAAATATTTCTTATATATTTAAAATGTAATATGTTTTTATTTTTTAAAAATTTAATTATTAATTTTTATGAATTCTGAAATAAATTATTTAAATAATTATTTTTTATACAATATTACATATTGATTATTTCAATTGAACTATATATACTTCATTTTAATTATCATTTAAATTCCCTCTTCATATCAAATTAAAAATGATTTTATTTTAAATTTTTATCATTAAAAATTTAATAATTTTTAATTTACTTGTAACATTTTTTCATGTATTAGTTACTATTTTTAAAAGTCTATTTACCTAAAATTTTGTTTATTTCTAATAAAAATTATTCTACATTTTAAAGTTTTTTACATTACATTTTTTTCTTTTAAATCACGCCCCTAATTAATTTAAACAATAATAAATTTTATTACAAATTTTAATAAATAATTCATGTTTTATTGTACATTTTTTTAAGTAATTATGCATTTTACTATTTTATAAAAATATTATACCATTAATATATTTTATTTAATAATTACAATAAATATTTCATCTATTTTTACTGACATTAAGTACAAAGTTAAATATAATTTGCTCAGTTAAATCTACATATATACATAAAATTCTAATTTTAATGTTAAACTACCCGTAATACAACAACATTTAATCAATTTCTAAATCTAATTTCCAATCTAAAAAAAAATTCAGATATTACAAATTTTTTTTCTACATAATATTATACAATAAAAATTTAAGGACTCAAATAAAATATAATAAAAATATATATAAACTTCCATTCTTCAATACCTTCAAACTGACAAAAATAGACTAGCAGAGGACCGACGAAAATGGACTGCAATGTATAAAATTTCAAAACATGTAGAAACATAAATTTTTTTTTTACGAATAAAATAAAACTTAATTATTTCATAATGTTATATTTACTTTTGGATTTCTCTAAAAATACTGCAAAATTAAAAACTTGATCAAAAAAATTTCAGATCAACAATGAAAATTTTTCTTGATGCCAGCGTTAATGGAGGGAGGGAAGGAGGAAGGGGAAGAAGAAGCCCATTCGTGACACTAATTTTGAGAAGCCACATGTCCACACCACAAATAGTATCGCACCAAATAAGTTGATAGCGTAGTCGATATTTCAGAGCCGATACAACTACGATTTGAACACGTGTCTATTTTTTTTCTAAACCGTTGATTTCAAACAACTATCATCGCTGGTGGGATGATACAAATCCATTTCCGACACGTGGTTACTATCGCATTTATAAGACTGATACTCTTTTTATTTTTATTTTTTTTATTCGTCTAATTCCAGGTGTCAGCGTATAGAGCTATATCGAACAATTTGGAACGATAAGCTATTTAAAAATTATTAACAAATTGTTATTGCTCATGCAGGTGCGAAACAGGTGCCTGGCAAAAAATTAGCCCAAACAGAAAATATGTTTTAAAATAAATCTATTTCCAAATTTTTTTTTATAAATCGTATTATTTAAATAAATTTGCCAAAATAAAGGTGAGATTTCAGAATTTTTAAAATAAATCAATATAAAATAATAGTTGATAAAATGACTAATAAAATTGAGAGCTGACGGGGTGAGCCAAAATTGACAACGAGGCGCGCCACACTCACGACACTGTTTCCGGTGTTGTCGTTAACGGAAAACAAGCAACGGTTAGGGGCGGTGAGTGAAAGAGAAGAGGACGTGTCCCTCATCTAGAAGGTCCAACAAAGCAAACGACATGGAGTTGTTAGTGCCGTTTCGATTCCCTTTCCCACGTATTCCTGTCTGTCCTAATAAATCGCCCTTAAAATAATTTGTGTCCCCCAAACGTAAGTGTTGTGTTCCTCACCAATTCCTTGTAGATCTTTTTCTCTCTCAATCCAATCCACAACCTCTTACCTGCGATTTTCACCCATGGCTTCGGTATTATTCTTCTCCTTTCTGCCACCATTTTCAATTCTCTGTTTTTGGTATTCAACGACAAATTAAACACACAATAAAGTATTCTTGTTGTGAAACTTGTTTGATATGTAGCGTGTTTGTCTAATGGGTCATCCATTACTTTAGTGGCATTTCATTATTGGCATAATTAAGGACCCAAATTGCTTGCATCATTGGAAAATTGATTATGATACAGCTAGAATGGAATGCATCTTTTTAGAATCTTTCAGTATGGATTGTGTATTTGATTGATAAATGAGTCAGCACTTTTGTTCAGTGAGAGGGTAAAGAAGTTTTGTTTATAATCCAATTCAATACAAGATCTTATTGCAAAATGTTTATTTATACAGATCAATCATTCATTAGTTGGAATACACAATATGATTTAGTATCATAATATGGATTTGCAGTAATGGAAGAATGGAACATAACATGCCAAAAGTACATTAAACTCATCTTGAACTGTTCAACTTTTTCTTCATAAACAGCAGGAAAAAGGTCGGCCATTGCCTAAATTCGGTGAGTGGGATGTGAACAATCCAGCCTCAGCTGAAGGTTTTACAGTCATATTCAATAAGGCTAGAGATGAGAAGAAGACTAATACTGCAGCGAACGTGGTAACACCACGTAGATCTGATCCTGTGTTCAGGAATGAGAATTATAATGATCCTCAACGTTCTCAGAAGGTGAACTTAAGTAGTCCATACTAGTGTTACTTTTCAGTCTATGGGTTTAGGCTTCATGCTTGAATATTCATCTAACAATGAGCTTTATTTAATTTCTGAATTGAAATTTGAATGCAGAAAAAATGGTTTTGCTGCGGCTGACTCTAGGGTGCTTTAGGCGCCTAGAGGGCATTGTGATCCCAACAAGAATTAGACAGGGGAGCCCTCTACAAATCCCTTTGTTCTGTAGATTATGTTCTTCTTGTAAATCAGGGGGGGATCAAGGAATGGTTTAAGATCCTATTTGCCGTCTTTCACTTATTTTTTTCCATTTATTTTCACCCTTTTGACATTTTGTGGTTTGTGGGATCACAACCTGATACATTATTGGCGTTAGTTGTAAGCAAATTGAAATTTCACACGATGCTTTTTGCTTAGGTTGATCTAAATTAATTAAGTTCTTACTGTGTAAGAACTGATCACTTTTGCAAAAAGGTAGTGTGGAATGCTGTGTAATAGGAAAAATTGTACAAATACGAGAAAAGAAAGAAAACGAAAAAAATAATGTACAAAATTATTCCCCTATTATTATGATTATCAATATGACTATTTATATAGCCTTTTTTTTTTTATTCTGTTCTTTCAATTCAGGGTTTATGGCAATTTTTTAAGGACTTTCTTTCATCCATTTTGTTCTTTTAATCCAGCTTTTAGGAATGAAACCACTAAACAATTAAAGTATTTGAGATTAATTCTTTTTTATTGGTCAACTAGTACTTGAGATTAATTCAAACTAGCCATATGGTGATTATAGCCAAATCTATGAGGCCCTTGGCAACCCAACTCGGTTCGACAGTGTTGATTTTGAAGGTGACCAACACACCAACCATATAATTTTTTTAGACAAAAACAAAAGTTTGGAAGAATATTAAAGTGCGCATTAGCATTTTTCGTGCTGTGAAGTGTGGCAGGCCATTTTCAATCCTTTATTTCATCAATACTCCGGAAAGTATTTATCCACTTCAAGGAGCTACGGTATTGACTCCGATTTATCAATATTCGACTATTTTTATAAGCCAAATAGACTCGCTTAGTTTTTATCCTTATGAGCCTAAAATAAATATTTGAAAGAAAAATTAAATATATAATAGTACCACCAGTTCCGATATGCACGGCCTCTAAATCAAACGTGATAAAATCATAAAAACTCAAGGGTAGTTAGCATGCCCAGCAGGCAAGATAACCCAATTCTTTATGATTCCGCCCATCTGGTTTTGCAAATTTAGTTACCAAACGGGTAATCACAATTCCTTAGGTTAACTTTCTACAAACTGAAAAAAATGCACCTCTCCATCAAGTTTCGTTCAACTTTTTTTTTTCCAGCAGATGTATAGTTGCCATTCTAACAAATCAAGGTTCATAACCTCTCATTAGCAACTGAAAAGCAAGAAAATGCACATTCACACAACCATTCAAAGCAGTCTAATTATAATCCAACACTGAACTAATTGAGAGAAACCAAACCAGAAAACAAAAGATAATCTACAGATGCAGAGGTTGTAATAAATACATAAAAAAACTGTTTGACATATGTATGTTGCTATTCTCTGCAAAGCTTGCATTGCATAGCGCAGAGCCAGACAAAAGATAAATAAATTTATCATGTTTAGGAAGAAAACTACAAATTCTGGGTGATATCCATCCTCAAAGCTAGAAAGATCCTTGACAAATAATGTTTACACAGATTGCTGAATTGCGGCATCACTTGCACCTGCACTTTCACCTATCCCAGCCACCTCAACACTAGCTGAATTTGAGTAGGATTGCTGACCAAGTCCAGGCACCATCAAGGGCAGTGAGCTTATCGGGTGATCAAACTTACAAGCTGGTCCAAATTTGCAAATTCCATAGCGACTGTAATGTGAGCAGACACTTTGGTCCTGGATTTCATGACAAAAAAATATTAAATATGAGAAACTAGCCAATCTGGCTTGTAGTCCCATATGACTAAACAAGCTAAAAGGAGTTATCTTTCCAAAATCAGAAACTCAATCATCTCAAGGTTACAGAGTCGTGTTAATTTCATTTTAAAAAATTAAGATTTTAGAATAGAACATGTTAAACAAAACTAAATAAAATTTTCAAGCTTTTAACAATAAACCTTACAGGTCTTAAAGGCAGACCCTTATCGCTGAGATTGCATGGAGGTAATCTTGCAATCCGATTCTTTGGATGGTGAAATTTACAATTAGATTTAAACTTGCAACCCCCAGTTTTTAAGAAGTAGCTGCATTCAGGTTCACCAGGCCTTTCTGGAAACTCTTCAACAGGCATCTGCTTTTGGTGGGGTATATAGACATTTGTTTCAATTGCTGGGTTGTTCATGACAAATGTAGAAGGGGGATGCATGCTCCTCTCAGATAGGTATACAGGTGCCTTGACAACCACAAATAAGTCAATTTGATGGGGAAACAATAAAATGCAAGAGTTCAGCAGGCAGAATAGTTAATTCGTGGAAAGGAAAGAAAAAAAGACCACTCTGTCTTGGTTTGTAAACCAACCAAATCAAACACTTCCCCATAAAAATCAAGACAAAAATATAATAATAACTAAGGAGGGAATGGATAGGGGACACATACAAAACATTAGATGCCATACATTATATTTTTAATTTTAGAGTTCAGTAATAGGTGCAATTTTAAATTCAATTCTCGGCATAAAGCCAAAGGTCCATTGCTTAATCTGCACAATTCTTAAATATGACTGTTTTTGACAAAATGGATCACACACCAGATAAGAAAAACTAGAACCTTATGAAATGTAAGAAACAAAACAATTTTGGACCATATAAAGCTAAAACCTCAAATAGCTTAATACTCATTTTGCTACAGAATTCACTGTACAGATAATAAAAAAACAAGATTAATGACAGGTCTGCAATAGTCAATAGGTGACATAATGATATTATCTCACAATCTAGAATGTAATTTCAAAACACATCTAGAAACCAATGGCAGGACAACATAAACTTGCAAAATTTAAAACAATTGGAACATGGCTCTGCCAATGTATCTGCAGCAACAGAGAGTATTAAGATGCATGGTATAAAATTGGCACACTAAACATTATGTAGTACTAGTTATATAATAAAATGCCCTTGTCAAGAGGGTTATTGGCAATTTAGCATTGAATCTATGGATTTACCTGATATCCATTCCAATCAGAACTTTGAGTAGAAATTCCTTGAGTAGGCGGGAGCATCACTGGCACAAAAGGGGATGCTTCATTTAATGTTCTTGGAGAAGACCAGGAGGGTACAGATTGCTGTGATACACCTTGTAATGAAATGGACCCTCCATTACCATACCCTGAAGGAGGATCACAGCCTCCAACAGCTGTAGGGTCAGGATGGTTAAACTTGCAGTTAGCTCCAAACTTACAAGAGCCAGTGCGCATGTAATAGGGGCACTCTTTTTCTCCCTATCATGAAAATCAACCTTATTAATATTTCAGAGACAACTGTTTTAGAAGACTGCAAAAAGTGACAGAGATATTATATATCTTTTGTTATAGACAAGTAATCATACCTGACGAATAGGCAGGCCTAGAAAATTAAGTTCTAAAACTGGTGCTGTTGAACATTTTCCTCTTGTGTGGTTATATTTACAAGATTTTCCAAACTTACAGCCCCCAGACCTTTGATAATACTGCCACAACATCAGGAAAAAATTGTTATGAATATGTCAGTAATAGTGCCATATGCTGATCACATGGTTTGGGAAAGAGATTAGCCATAAAAATCATATACAAACATGCTTTTCCCCATAAGTTGTTATGCAAGTCCAATCATTTTTTAAAGTTCAAAAAGCATTTATTAATGATTTTTTCATTCATTCATTTATTTCCATTCTACTACTATAGTATAATGATTATTATTAATTAATCTTAATAAAATAATTAACAAAATTGTCATCATTTTCCTTGCAAGCACATGACCTTGCAGAAATAACACATGACATTAAAACTTGCAACATAATTTGCTTAGAAGCATAATTTGGACAATAACCTTGCATTCTGTCAGGCCCAGTCTTTCTGCAGATTCCTCTCTTTCTCCAGCCTTGTCCTTCACAGCCTTCATTCATCATTAAAACATCAAAACAAAGAACATTTTAAGAATTGAAAATCTGATATGATGTTTCCATCCATAAACTGACCAAGAGAATCTCATTAATATACTCAATCACCATACACCTTGTAAAGTCTGAAGAGGTAAAATAGGATACATCATAAAAAGAGAAAGATTTGGAAGTCCAAGGAAGTAAATAAGCAATGCTATAGAGTAAAAAGAAAGATCAAATCAAACACATTTTACAAGCAAATATGCACATTACCAAGGTAGCAATGTAGCAGCCATCACCAGTTCTTCCAATCAAAAGTACACCTCCAGAAAAGGCAAAAACCCCTACTTCTCAATCCAACAATTCCACCAATAATAAATGTCACCACACACACAAGAAATCTCGGACCAGAAGATAGCCCTTACACAGGTGAATCATTCTAAGCTTAACTTTCAACAATGCAATATCAAAATGGATGCTGACACATGGATCACTAAAAAATATCAACGGCGAACCATCTCTAACTGAATGCATCACTAACAAAAAACATAGCATCTCAAAACTTCACGAGTAAAAAGGACAGAAGCAATACCTGGTTTTTCCTTCTTATGGGGTGATTAAACTTGCAATTGAACCCAAACTTGCAAGTCCCAGTTTTCATATAGAAAGCACAATCTTCAGCTTCAGGCCTCAAAGGGTATTGATGAGTTCCACCACCACTTTTCTCTTCCTTCTTCTCCACTCCATCACCATCACCATCAATGTCAACATCAACATCAGCATCAACATCAACACCCACTTCCTCATTCCAACTATTAATCTCCCAACCCCTGCTATCTCCATCACACCCTTCTTCACCCTTACCAGTTTCTTCATCACAAACTCCTCCACCATCGTTAAAGTCCGAAACTTTCTCAGTACTTTCTTCCCCAACATTCAAATCCAACTTGTTCTGAAGCTCTTCACGAAGTGAGTCTTCCTCAGCCGCGTGATTGAGATCTGACGGTGGAGGAAGGGCATCGGGGGCAGAAGAAGGTGCCCCCTCAGGACCCAATTGCAGGTCCTCGCCATTGGAATTGGAAAGTGCAGCAGAATCGGATTCAGAGGGTTCCATTCTCCCTCCACATTTCAAACCCTAATAACGTGAAAAAAAAAAAGGGAAAAAAAACTCACACGGAGAGCGCAGACGAGAAAGGAGAGAAAAAGGTTGTGATTTTATATATGGGAATCAGAAAACAGAAACCACAACAGTGTGACTGTGAGTGTGAACGTGAACATACAAAAGGGGTAAAAGAGAGTACTACTTTATGCTGTTCAGTGTGTATGGGCTGCGTACACTGTACACTGCTATTTATTTTATTTATTACGATAATTATTAATTTTCTACACTTTAATTTTAAAACAAAATTTAGTTACAAAAAAAATAAGGTTTTTTATTCAAAATAAAAATGTATACAAAAATTAGTTTAAAAAAAGTATAAAACATATCTAATACTATACATTGATTTTATTTTAAAATTTCACACTTCTCTTTTGCTTTTTTTTTTATCACAGAATTCACTATTTTTCTTAAAGTCTATTTAACAATAAAATATAATATCATTAGCATAACATATATTTTTATGATCTTACATTTAATACAAGTTAAAATAAAAAATTAAATAGTATTATTTTATTTTATTTATTTTTAATTTAAAATTATTTACAAAATAAAAATTACATTTAAAATAAATTTATCAAATTACAGGAATTAAATGAATATTGTATCGTATTATCTTAATTTTAAACAAAATCTGATATTGGGGTATACCCTTTGAAAAGTCAAATCATGATAGTGCACATATGGGTGAAGGTGTAGTGATTGGCATTGGAGATAGTTATGTAGTTGACAAATGTGTTGGCCTAAGTAGAAGCTTGGGGAAATGTGTTACAAAGGAGAACCAATGCAAACCAAAACCATTTCAGACGAAGAAGATAAGGACTAGGGATGAAAAATGAAAACTCTGATCCCATCCAAAGGCTTTTGTTCGTAAATAATTGGGCGTTTGTGTATTGGTGAACGGGTAATTTGTATCTTTCTGAATGGAGAATGTGAATTATAATGCCTCATCCCCTGGCTGTGGTAATAATGTATGTTTCATTGTTGGGTCAAATTAAAGTAAAAGGTGTGTGGAATTTATTGTCCAATGCAACATAGCATCTTTCAAGGAGGTAAGAATTCCTGGTCAATTTTTTGTTTTATTGATTTAATTTTAAATTATTAAATATAATCAAGTATACATTATAAGAATATTTTAACTCAATTATATAAACCAAGAAAAGTTATTCCAAGTGATTAATGTATTGATTTTAAAAAATTAACAATAAAGAGTAAATATGTAATAAATAAATGATGTTGAAAATTTATAAAATACTTTATATACAAATAACAACAAAATTTAAGAAATTCTTATAAGAAATTATTAAAAATATATAAAAATTAACTATCTAATTGCAAATTAAATAGATACTCACGCTCTTGAACGAGTTGGCCAGGGTTATAAATGTAACATGAATCCCATGGATTTTGCATGCTAAGTTCGATCTTTTTTTTTATTTTTTTTAAATAATAATAATAATCATAACAGCTGTAGGTGAGAGCTCTGAGTGGTTGAGCGCGTGTTAAGCTTTTTTTTAAATAATAATAATAAGTGATTATTTTCTTTTTTTAATGTTTAAAATTCTGTATAAAAATTAAAAGATATTAATATTTATATTTTTATAAAATAATATTTTTAATATGTATTTAAGGAACAAATTAAATATTAAAAATTATAGTATTTAAATAAAAACTTGTTTTTACTTTATTTTAATTAATTTAAATAATTAAATATAATATATTATTTAGCATTGAACATTTAGATTAATTAATAAAATATTATTCACTTAGTTTGTAATATTAAGTTCGGATCTCATTCAACTGCTTTGAGCACTAATAAAAAGCAAACTTTTTAATAAGGTATTGTTAATATGTTTCAATTATAATTTATAATATATTTTAATATATTTTTAATGTTTTTAATAAAAAAATATCTTAAGAGTATCAATTTACTTAGATCTTTAAATGTAAACTTTTAAGTGATTTTTATTATTATAAATTTTTAACATTCCAAAGAAGTGACATGAAAAAAAAATTCTAATACTTGATAGAAGAGAATAATTTTCTTTTAAAAAATAATGTTTTTCTGAAAATGTTAATTTAGAAATAAATGAAGATAAAACTTTGTACATCTTCATATGTAGGAATAAAACTTCTCCTAGTAAATAGTTGTGAAGTTACTAAACTTTCTAATAATAATTGATATGTAAATATATTATTCATAAAAAAAATTGAATAGTATTGATAATTATTATAAATTTTATAAAGAATCATATATTTTGAAATTTTATCTTTAGAAAATTAACTTTGCTGGGAATAAAAAATTTCTGTCATAAACACTATCAAGATAGAGTGGTTTGGCATAGGAACCATAGCTTGGTTCCATTCTGTGCATGGGAACTTCAAATGAAACGTCTTTAACCATTCAATTTCTATTTCACTGTTTCCAATAATTCCTTTGAGATTTGCATTTCTCTCAAAGACAGGCCCTCTCCGTCTAGTTTGTCCCTACCAACAACTGCTTTCGTTGTAGCAACAAATTCTCACACTGACTGAATTGGCTGAATCCATGTCAGTGTGAAGATTGTTTCATTTCTATCAATTACTTCAGCTTATGGCACATTTATTATTGGAATTCAAATAGATTTTTAAATTAATTTTATATGGATCTTATAATAGCACGTAGTTTGAAATATATTTTCATTTTTTTTATTTTAGTGATAGAATTAAAGTTTAAATTTTTAGATTATTTTTTATAAGTCTCATTAAAATTATTATTTATTTATCAACGGTGATAAAAAAAATTAAAAAAAGTTAAAGCAAACTAATTTTAAGTTTAAAAAACATTCTCAAAAATCATTAATAAAGGTACTCTTAAACTTCATATATTTGTCTTGTATGCATTATTTTACTTTTTAAAAGCAAAGTTTAAAAATTAATAAATAATATTTTTTAATAAAATTTGTAATATTTAATATTATTAATATATATTTATAATTTTTTATAAAAATTATTATATATATAATTTCATTATATACTCTTAAGTATATATGAACAAATTATTGTAAGAATTTTATTCAAATAAATTACAATAATTTTTTTTTAAAAAATCCCACTTAGGAAATTTACAGCCGAAAATGTAACTAAATAATAGATTAAGAAAGAAATCAGATTAATATTTATTTTTGTTACGTGAACTACTAAAAGTAAAATTAAAAATAATATATATAATTTTTTTTTTTAGCTCTATAAACTTTTTTTATATTTTATATTCTTAAATTTGTTAAAATTTTAATTTGGTCCATTTCCTTAACCAACGATTAGACAAAGCAAATGATATTTTGTATTTAGTTCTTAAATTTGTTCATATTTTTATTTTTAGTCCTTACAATATCATCATACTAGATATTGTGTTAGCGTTAATGCATAGAAGTTAATGTGCATCAATGCGCATTTTATTATTACCTTTTCACCAACTATTAGATAGTATTACAAATAACTTTATAAAGTAAGACTTTATTGATAAGTATAAATCATTTCAATTCCTTCATTATTCATATATGTTAAAATGATATCTTTTAGGAGGAAGCATTTTCAAGTGTTTCTTTATATTTAGAGTATATTTTTAAAAAATAAATATTAATAATTTAAACAATGAAGTTGAAATACTAACATGGTTTACATAAATATTAATATTCTAATTATAAATCTTTTCTCTTCTTATTGCTTATCTTTTTTGCCAAGAATCAAAAGTCTTTATCATATAAATGTTTATATTATCAATTTGATTATATTTTTATAAAATAATTTAAAAATCATTTCAATAAAATATATCAAGATATTTAGAAGTCCTTTTATAGAATTTTCTAAACATACTTTTAATCTCTTAACTTTAGGATATGTTTGGAAGAGGATTTTGAAAAGAGAAAAAGAGAAGATATATTTCTAATTTTAAATTTAAAAAATTATATATAATTTATAGGCTTTTTTTATATGAAAAAAGAGAAAAAAAAAATTAAAATGTGATGTTTTAGATGAATACAAAAATATGAAAAAACAATTTGCCCAAAAATCACCAATATCATTTTTTGGTACTTTAAATTTTATTTTATTTTTTTAAAAGTATCATTTGATATTTTTTTTTTAAATTACCTACTTTATAAGTTTTCATTCTCTAAACATTTATACTTGTACAAAAAATTATTATCATTGACAAGTTTTGAATTTCATACTTTTGTAATTTTTTTAAAAATACCATATTTTGGTATATATTATAATTCAAACTCATATTTAAAATAATTAGCTTAATTTATAATAATTAATACATTAAATTTATATCAATATATTAATTCATATTTTTTATTTTTTTTAAAAATAATTTAAAATATATTTATTTAAATAAAAAATTGTCTTTCTTCCTAACAACTCTCAAACATCATCCAATTTATTTTTTATAACATTTTCTTACACTAAAATTAAAGTAAATAATATTATATAAAATTAGAACTAAAAGATTATCACTTACAATGTCATAAAATTAGTCCCTTAAAACACATCTGACAAGGTTGAAACTTAAAAAATGGTATTTGATGGTTTCTTTTATCTTCATTATCAATAGTTTAAAATTATCATATTATTGTTGGCGCGAAACAAAGGAGAGAATTAAAAAATTCTTTTTATCGCCATCAAGATTGCCAAACTGAAGTGACACAAGTTTGGACAGTGTCACTCTCAACAAAATTTTCTCTACAAATTGTTCGCAAGTCACTAGTATATATGGAAGTTTAAGTTCACGATTTTTTTCACCAAACTTATGAAACAGTGTTTTAGAAAGTTCCAAAATGAACCCATTATCCAAATTGAATAGTTTGTTTCAATTGTTACTTTGCACGAAATCGTTCAGACGTTATGTTATACCAAAAGCAGTAGCTTAAAAGAACAGAGAAACGGCTACCATGCTATGGTGAAGATTCAACAAATTTAAAAGTAGAATCAACTCTGAAAATACAATATATGGCCTTCTAAAATACCTTTTGATGCAACATCATCCTAAAAAGCTGTTAATGGAAAAAGACAAACTTTATACAATGGCTGGGATAACAGGAATCTTTGTCGTTGAGATGATTCTAGAAAAGAGTTAAATAAAAGAACAGATAAAAAGGTTCGTCGGAAGTCCAACCATCCCGGATTTATCCATATTCGGCGGGAGCTCAAGGACAACATACATAAGAGAAACAATAAGTATATATGTCCTTCTCAAAAAAGCTGCAAGGAGGGAATAGGGATAGTTAGACATCTGAGGCAGACGAATCAAATGATGGTAGAAGCCAGCCTTTGGCCTGGGCATGCTCCACATAGAAGCCAAATTTCTCCTTAGCGTTTGGAATGTCCAGAGCCAGATCATCGAGGCCATCCTTAATTCGGGTGAAACCTTTAGTCATCTGATTGATCGTGATGAGGCCCTCACTAAAGCACTCCTGCAGCAGATGTAGCATCCGATCATTCTTCTTCTCCATGGCCATAATCAAAGCTTTCTTCACTACCTCATGGTTAAAAAAAGGCATTCCCAGGTCACGGATACACTGGCATGCTTCACTGACAACCCCACCACTTTCATACTCCTCCAAGAGCTTCATTATCTTGTCCTTGGCATCCTCCACCGCCCATCCAGTTCCTCCGCCCCAGCATCTCAACAGCCTCTCACCAGCATGACGAGCAGCAATGAGTGTTCGAGCCATACGCACAGTTTCACTACCACTGCATTTTGGTGGTAACCTGCTGCCAATTTCTTCCAAGTTCAGTGGGGCTAATACATCATCAATCACAGCCCGTGCTAAAAAAAGAGCAAGCTCATTTGAAGCATCCAATATATCCAGTGCTGTATCTTCTGCACTTTCCAGAAGCAAGACAAAACCATTAACTATATCCTCTGTAGAGAAGAGCTCTATATGAAGAGCAGATAGCAGTACAGATGCCATTTCCTTTTCTCTGTTCTTTCGGTCCATAGCAAGTGTTATTAGCTTTTTCAAAAATATTGGGTTATACTCGGGTGCTCCAAGATCTTCAAGACTTCGAATGAGTTCAGGAATGTCGTCAGAAAGAAAATACTCATGAATAATAGTTACAGCTTCTTTTTTGTATTTCCTCACCTTTTCATCTTCAACTTGGATTTCCCCATCTTCACCAGCAGGTTTAGTAAATGAAGCATCAAGCCATCCTTCAGATATTGCCTTGGGGACAAATGTCTGAAACAAGGATTTAGCTGAGGGAATATCAAGAGCAAGATCATCTAGGGATTCTGCCAATCGAGAAAACCCTTTCACCATTTGACTGGAACTAACAAGTCCTTCTTCTGCTGCTTCTTTTAATAACTTCAACATTAGAGATTCTGCTAAACGAATCTCCATGGCAAGTACCAAAGCCCTCTTTACAACCTCATGATGGAAGAATGAAACCCCTAACTCACGTATACACCTACAGGCTTCAAATGTATCACCACTATCCACATACTCTCTAAGCAAATCAGCAATCTTCTTCTTTACTTCTTCAACAGTAATGTGAGTGCTACCACCCCATCGCCTTTCCACAAGTTCTGCATGGTGTGGAGCTGATAGATAACTCTTCTCAGCAGTCTGGATAACCTGAACCCCCTTGGAAGATTCTGGAAGAGCCCTCCTTGCCCTGGCAAGAAAGGCTGGAGGAATAATATCATCAACAACAGCCCGAGCCAGGAATAAAGCAAGGATGTCAACTGCATCCAGTATATCCACTGCAAGATCATCAGCAGATTCAAGAAGCATAAAAAACCCATCCCTAATCTGTGCAGGGCTGATGACATCAGCATACAATGCTGAAAGCAGAACAGAAGCCATTTCTTTCTCCTTATCATGCCTGTCCATTGCCATGGACACAAGGCGTTTAATGAAGTATGGATAGTATTCACTTGAACCAAGTTCTCTGAGGTCAGATGCTGTCAATTCCACATCCCCATTGCTGAAATATTCCTCTATGATGGATACCACTGCTTTCTTGAATTCATCTAAGGGATCAGTAACAGTAGATCCAACCAGCTGATAGGGTTCCTGTAAATAGAAAGAGTATGAATAAGCATGCATTACACGCTTATTTATGTAATTCATTTTCAATAATCACAGAAAAAGGATAGGTTATATGAGCTTTTCAAGCAGCTAGTGTTATGTAATAATGATGTTAAAAACTACCACAAAAACATGAAATAGATTTTACATCGCCACTGTCATAATTTGGATCATTCCGATCTATGTGAGATTCAACGTCTGTATCAAGCAACTTTCCCCAAGTGCCCTTACCACCAGCACCATCTGCATCCACCAAAAAAAAAAAAAAAAAAACTGAAGACCATTATAAAACTCAAAAGCAATTCTAAAATCAGATATTGCTACTGCAAGAGAAAGCTTCAAGCAAGGAACGCTCAACCTCATTGACAAGCATCATTATCATCAGCCCAAAATAAAAATCCAAAACCAACAGTAAGAATCACTCATAAATTTACTTGGCTATTGGTTTATTTCATGAACCAGTTGCATTTTAATTAGTTAATGAAAGTCAAGATAGATACTTGGCATGACATGCATCCCAAATAGATTACCATACATGTCTGACAGCTTATTACTGGGAAAATAAGCTCTTTTTTTTCTCATAATATCTGTACAAAAGCTGGGGTTAAAAATGTGTTTCACAAAATATGCGAAATCCAAACATATAAAACCATAAGCAGAGTAGAGTTGAATGTCCACATGCCAGTGCTGTTTAGAATTACAGTCAATGAACTGGAAAATAATCAGATTAGCCCCAAATTTTGGACAAAAGAAAGGAAAGAAATTTATCAAAAAACATAATAGTACTTGCCTCCTGTTTATGAAAATTAACCAAATATAAATTAAAATTACTAAAATAGGCATAAAAGATTAATCGTAAAACGTGGTAGCCAACGGGTAATTTGAGTAACTTTTAAAAATAATTGCAATGTATTTTTCACTGTTAAAAGACTAATGAAATTTTGCTTCTTGCAATGCATTCATGCCTGCCTCACAATCAATAAGATTAGCAATCATGGAAGCAAGAAAACACTGTGCTAGCAAGTAAAAGTTAACTAAGCACAGATACACGGGATAATGATGGGAGGCAAACTCACATAAGGAGTCCGGTTCCCAAAATCAATCCCTTAATACTAGTAGTTTCTTGCCTAGACAAAACAGCTGTCTATCAGTTCTGATTGGGGAGGCTAAACCACTGCAGCTAGATCATATTAATAAAATAAAAATTTTACCAACCTAGAGCAATAATTCCAAGAAATTCAGACAGAATAATAAAGCAGATATTGCCCCGAGAGAAAAAACAAAAAAACCATAAGCAGCACAAGGCAAGTAACTGTTAAAAATTAATCATCTCCCAAGTCAACTTAAATCCCAAAAATTTGTGAAGATCCAAACCCGTTGACCTATTCATCTAAGTATATATCAAACTTTCTTCTTAAACCTTCTCATGAAAACAAACGGCCTAATCCTATATATCGTGTAATTTGCTCAACAATGCAACCCAAAGGCAATGCACTTAGCATAGATAATCCATTCAGATAAAACATCAGAAGGACACAAACTTACCCTTCTTCACCCGCACAAACTTCCCAGAGTGTGAACGGCGCACATGCCTCACAGCAATCCCAGCAGTTTGTGCCCTACCACCAGGAGGGGCTTTCACATGATGGTCAGAAAGCAGAGACGACGGGGACTTCGGCGATGAAGACAGATTCTCCGCATTTTGACTCGCAATTTTTAGCATTTCCCTCTGCCCATCCGTCAGAAACCCCTCGCTCGATGCCATTTACTCGCAGAGACTCTATAAACACATACACCAATTAACCCCATCACTTCATCAATCACAGCGTAACTCAATAGACAGCACTACATTAATTTATCAACTAATTAAATACTCTTTCAAATGCAAACGAAACCAATGCACATAGCCAAATATCATTAGCTCTGCGTTTTTTTCCTTACAAACTGCTAGATAAAAAAAAACACGCTATAAAAAAACACATCTCTCAACTTGAAGCACTTCCGTGTTTGCCACGTGTCACTTAAAACCATAAGCACCAAATAGAGCGTCTCGTCTTACTTCCAAGGACAAACAAAACACCATGCCAATAAATCACATCACCTTTATCGCAAAACAAAAGCCAAATCACAGGGGAAAAAAAAGCACAAAAAAGAGAGGAAAAAAAAAGGTGAATAATTCGAACCAGAGACTACAAAATGCAAATCAGAATCGGATTCTTCTGCGCTTGGCCCGGATCTCGAGCCAAGACAGGAGAAGCAACCGGATTTCCCGAATCGAGCCCTGCGATGGCGAGAAACGAAAGCGAACGAGGCGAAGCGAAGAAGATCCAAAGGGAAACGACGTTGAGAGAAAAACCCTAAAAGACGACGAGGTTGTGTGCAACAATCGAAGAGAGTGAGCTAGTGTCTGAAAGTGAAACGGTGGATACTGGAAAGAGACGCGAGAAGAGAAGCGAAGCGAAATGGATGAGAACGAAAAGAGAACGTTTATATATGGAGGCTACGTTTACCTGTACACGTCACCACTGGGCGAGGTTTTTGGGTTTGGGCCTTCAACTCCTATTATCGTTCCCTTCTGTTGACACGTGGCATTAGAGCTACATTCTAATACCAATCTTAATGATGTGTCCTCTTTTAGCTTGCCATTGCATTCATATGCTCTTTGTATAAACCCTAACCTAGTTCTCTTCTTTAGGACCATCATCCTCAACATCTGTTCTTCAAACAACTTTTTTCTACTCCTATTATTATCTTCTTTTTCAGCTGTCTTAAAATAAATAATTTTATTACCCGGATCCAAAGAGTCGTGTTGTAATAGTATACGTACACATTAAGTATATACATGCTATTATTATAGGGACTCGTGTTACGGCACATGTGATATAAAAATATATGCTTTACATTTTTTATGTAGTAAAAAAATATATCGTTTATTTTTATTTCTATTTAAAATACATTATTTCTAGCTAAGGGTTTTCATCGCCTTACTTTGATCCAGCAATTTTAAAAGTGCAGTTGAACCAAGTAAATTCAAGCTATTTCCGTTGCTTCAAGTCCCAAATATTTTGAAATTTTCAAACTTTACCTAACTTGTTCACATAATTAAACCTTGTATGTATAGCCGTGCATTTATTTAACCTCTAGGTATTATTATTTTTTAATGAATATTAATTAGTGTCTTGAAAATATAAGTTAAAGAAATTATAATATTTTTTTAAGTTACATTGAGGCATTATTTATGTGCATTTAAGTAATTGAAGTTTCTCGCACATTTCATGACCTAAGGGAATCTACAGCGTGCTAGGGTTTAACAATTGTAGTTGGTTTCGTGGTACTTGAGGATGAAGGAGAAGGTTAAAAAAAAAACACACTGTTAAGTTTAATGAGGAAAACATATAAAGTAACAAACATATTTGACCATAGTTGTCAAGAATCATAACAGCAATTTTTAACACTTAGAAAATACTTCATAACAAGAACATTAATTGTATATCATGTAAAGTATAAATTTTGATTGGTATGTAATTTTATTTCTCTCTTTTTATTAACTTAAAATGCCTCTTTTAATTAGTTAATTTTGAAAATCGTTATAATTCATATTGTTAACTTTCGTACAAAATAATAAAACTCTCACAAAAATACTTAACAAAATAAATATGAATTCTCGTTCATGTAAAGTATAAAATTTAATTGAAAAGTGAATTTTCTCTCTCACAGTCTAAGGTACTCCTTCTAACTAGTTATATTTGGAATTCATCATAATTTATGTTGTTATGCTTTTTATTAAATAGCAAAATCATTTCACTTAAAAAGAATTTGCTAGCTGCAATGATCTATTAATTCTGGGTTGAAATGACATAATCTAAGATTATTTTTTATGTTTTTATTATTTATCCAAGGTAGGCACAAATGGCAAACATGATATCGACAACTATTTGTTAAGCCTTGTTCGTGTCGTGTGTTCTCCAGTAGCGCATTGTTTATCACTCGAACAAGCTATTGAGAATCCAAATGAGAGAGAATTTTGAAAGTACACATTGATGTTGATATAGCATGGAAACTTTTGAAAGTTGATGAACATCTATAAATTTCAAGTAGCTTAATTTTTTAAAACTCCTTTTAATTATAAATCCTTTTAATTTCAAGTAGCTCAACGAGTGATTAACGAAATCCTCCTCACTGTATGCTTATAAAATCCTTTTAATTATTAAATAATGTTTATATTTTTAACAGAATAAATGCATATATTTTTATTTAATATTTATTTTATAAAGTAATGGGAAGATTATTAAAATAAATAAATATATGAAGATATAACAAACTATTAATGCATTGTTGTCTACAGGTTTATCAAGCTGAATCACATATGCAATCAGTTAATAATGCTACAAGAAAAATCAGCCTAACATTGTAAAACTTGAATAAACATTAAGTAAATACTGAAGATTGTAGAGACGAACTAACTAAGAACACATTAAATAAGAAAACAAAATATAAAGGTTTAGTTAACAATTATTATAATTATAAAAAAATATTTCCATGTTTATTTAAATAAATGGAAACATTCAATATAATATATTTAAGAGCAATTTTAATTTTATTCATAATTTTTATAACCTTTTTATTACATTTTTTAAAATTTTTCTTCACTTTACTCATTTTATCTCACTCTCCTTTCTTTCTTTTTTTTTTTGGTTACAGAAAATGTTGTATAAAAATATTGTGAGAATAACATTAATCTGCTATCATTTTTAATCATCACCTTTGGAATACTCATTAATAAGACCTAATTATAAATACGTAAAAAAATGAACTTCCATAAATGAATAGTTTTGGAGTCTCAACTCTCAAACATGAAATGATAGTATGGAGAGTGACTCAAGCACAAATTAATGTAATTAAATAAATGACAGGTATTTTGTGATACAACAAGGAAATAGATCAAATTTGTTCTTTAAGATTTATAATTACATAAATTAAATATAATTAGGTCAAAAATACTTTTCAATTAGATGTGAACTAAGGTCCAAAACTGTTTTTTTAAGGAGCATATTTTATGCATACAAGGGATATCTTTGGGATGAGACACTCAGAGACTAATCCCTTCAAAGCATAGTAATCGTTGAAACGAGTTTATTCTCTTTCAACCATTTTTAAGTAGTATTTGACTTAATTATTTTTAATTTGTTCTCTTTAAAAGTAGAAGTTTCTAAGAAAGTTCAATCATATGCTTTTTTTTTTTTTATATATATTAATCACATGCTATTTTAATAAAATATAAATTTGAAACCAAAATTAAATAAATAGCAACATAGAAGCCTTTTGAGTCTTCAACATAAATAAAAAAACTTGAAAAAATTGGTTTCCCAAACAATTGTGCTTTTTATTAATTACACGTCTAGTTTTTGTTGTTTAACTCTCTTTTTTTTCACTTTTATTTTAGATTTGAACTCTGATATGGATGAGATCCAATAGTAAGAAAGAGTGTTTGAATTATACGTTTGAGAGATATTTTTATATAAAATATTTTAGACAATTTTAAAGTGACACTTTCTAACTTATATATAAATTTATAATATATTATTAACTCACGGACTTTAAATCTCTAACAGTTAGTCACCCAGGTTGCTGAAAAAAAAGAACCTTAAAAAGAATCAGAGAAATGTTCCCGTGCTGTGCAGGTGAGAGCAGAAGTACGGCACGCTAATTAGCATTTTCAATTTCCAAATCTAATAAGAAAGAAAATTAATATGAGGCGGGGAAAAAAAATACAGCAAGTATTTATATATGTCAAATTCCTAGAAAAAGTTTTAATTATAATTAAGTTATATTTCAATATTTTTATAATTAAGTATATAATTTTTAATTATAAAATATTAAAAGTAATAAAATAGCAAAATCATTAAAATGTAAATCAAGTAAAATTTTTATTTAATATAATATGTATCATATTTTGTGTAAGATAAATATTCAATAATAAGTTAAACAGCCAAAATTTAAATATAAACTTCATACGTGAACCTTTGTAGCTTAGTAAAAAAAATATTTAGTAGAAAAATTAAAAGATTAAAATATTTGGTTTATACCAACTTCTCATTGCCAGCTTAATAATGAAATTTACTAGTTTTGAACGGATTTAGTTAGTTATCTTTAATTCTGAAATTAGTCAATTTTTTTAGTTAAACAAATCAGACATAAATCAGTTCGTCAAAGCCACTCAGATGATAATGCTATGCTCCAGTTCGTGGGATTTCTCTCTCACACACACACACCCCTAATACTCTTTTTAACACACCTGTCAGTTAAAAATTTACTCAAAACTACAAAAATTATATGAATCACTCTTCAATTTAATATTTTTCTCTCATACTTTTTTAATTTTCATCAATTTTAATCAATAATAAAAAATACATTACTAATATTCCTAATAGTTGAAAGTATAGCCAATAATTTAAGAATATTAGTTAAAAAAATAAAAAGAAAATAAAATTATTAAAAATCATATTAAAAATGTATCAATACTATTTATATTATATATATATATATATATATATATATAATTTAATTGAAAAAGACATGCATAATAATTATGTTATAATACCTATTAAGAAAAAACTGGGGGAGCCATGGCTCCCCTTGTCCCAACAAAGGATCCGCCAAGCATCCCAAGAAAAATCTAGGATATTTTGTTTTCGGAAAATATGTTATGTATGTACATGCAAAATTGCGTGATGTATGTAACTCATTCTAGCTCTGCTCAACCATCATAAATCTTGCTACAATGCAGCATGTTCCATACGTCTTGAGCAACGTGGCTGTGGTGTGGGGATGCCATGCAGACCCAAGATGCAAAACTTTTGTTGTTGAGGCTCCACATGCCATGCCTGACAGATTAGAACACACTGTTAGAATGTTAAAATGTTTGAATGGTTTAAGAGACAACCAAAATCCTATGCAAGTTCAAAAAGGATCCCACACCCAAGGTATCACGGAGTTCTACACCATCTTTAGTCAATAAGGATAACATAGGATGGTCTTCAAAGAACCTAAAATTGGACATTCTGAACCTAGGAATTGTCAATAAATTGCAGTTTCCTTCAAATAAACAATTGCATAATCTTTTAGACTACAGACTTATGGTTTGGAAAGCAAAGGCAGTGAACTTCTAATGAAAGATTTAGAAAAGCTTGGCAAAATCATTGAACAGCATCCACAACAGTATATCAAATTCAATAAATAATTCAACTGAAGCATTTTTGTTAGCAGACAGTGGTAAAAAATATCAGGTACAAAGCAACAGGTCCGTGAAGCAGACAATTAGTAAAATGCGCTACCGTAGTTTTTGCTTGATTATTAAAACAAACCAAAATCTTCAAAAGGAAAACAATTCTACTTACACTTCTTTAGATGCGTTGCTTCCTCCCTTCTTGTTTGAGCTAGGAACTACATAGAAAAGTAGAAAAC